GTGGAAGTGGAGCTGTGCGGCCAAACTGTAATTATGGAAGAGAAAAAAAGACACGTTTTAGGACTTATTAATGAGCTCCACATTGTGACGGAGTTACTGAGAGCTAAGCTAATGTAGCTTGGCCCACTTAATACACAGCCACTGAAAAATGGTGTACTTATCGATTGATTGATTAATTCATTCATTCATTGACCTTATTTTATTCTCATGCACTGTGGGGCCCTGCCCATTTGAGTCCATAAAACTTTCCACATACACAACAAAGCAGGACAGGATGGACAAATACAAATCCCAAACAACATTTAAATAGGGTGCAAATACATATAAAATTTAAAATGTCCTTTTCATACATCTTTCTTTAGATTTTATCTTGGGATAACCCAAACATGTTTGCATTATCTCCATTTATACATTCTCATAGAAAAGGTATTAAATCACTGTACAAAGAAGAGTAAAGGACAAAGTGATGTTCATCTTCAACCACATAATGTCACAGAAAAACACCAACTCCAGAGATTTCACCTAAAATCCTCGAAAAGTCAGAATTCCGTGTCTGAAAGTCTGGCCAATCATGGTTGCTACTCGCATCAATGTAGTAAAAAATATATTACTAATGCAATTGTTAGCAGTTCCTTCTTATTTACGCGACATTGATTAATCTTATGCATACTTCTTTTAAAGATGTAATGGAAATTGTTTATCAATGAACTCACAGAAAAGGGGAATGGAGACCTCTTTAACAAAGGGGAAAAATAGGTACAAACAATAGGCAAAATGAGGAGACACAGGTGAATAGAGGCAAATGATTAACTTATGGCTCTGGCTGAGGGAAAATGATTAAAAGGCACTAACAGGAAGAAACACAAGAAACCAACAAAATCAATCCAATATTATGTAATACGTGGCAGAAAATGCTCATGAAAACTAACTAAAAACGGTAGGGGCAGTATTGATTATATGAAATAGTATGGCAAACCCCTAATGGCAAAAATGTTCGAATTTCACAAGAACTATGGAGCATGATAAAAATAAGGAAAATGCAATAAAACATTAACTTCAAATTTAAAAAAAATAACCTGACACTTGTAAATAATGACTCAACAAAGAAAGATGAACACTATAGACTTAGACTTAAGTCTAAGTATATAAATCTATTTTATAATCTATCTATCATCTTTGAGATTAAGTCATTCTTACTTTGCTAAGTGTACTTCAAGTACACTTAGTGAGCTTAGTTTCAAACTAAGCTAAATGACAACCTTTATTTCATGGAGAACAAGAGTTTAATTTAACAGTGGAACCGAATCAGTGAAGGACCCTTAAGGAGTTTCCAGTCTAGCCCCGCCCCCTGATGCAACAACGGTGCCAGCTTGTAGTGACATTGTTGCTGGAATTCTGCGGTAACACTGAAATCATCTCACATTGAAAAAATGCTGCAGCTGAAGATGCCAGTACGATCACCAGCTTTTTCCTTTTTGAAAGGACATTTAGAATTTTAAATTTGACTTTTCAATGCAGTTTCTATACAACCTTATGGGTTGTATAGAAACTGCATTGATAAATGGATGAAACCATCTAATAGTCTGAGGCCATTGTCTTAATGGAAATAGATCAATCATTTAATCTTTGGGTTTTTAGCAAGAAGGTCCTGATAAATTTCTTCATTCATCACTCCATCAGTTACAGGCAGTCTGCCAGTACCATATGGTGTAAGTGAGCTGATGATAATTTCACCTGCCAACTTCATTTTTGGAATTTCATTTTTGGAAACATTTTTCTTTCAGAAAGGTGTTTGCAATGACATGGCTCTTCCAAATTTGTTTGCAAAAAAGTTTTTAAAAGTGTCAATGTTTTGAGGTGTAAGTCTGCTTACATACCCTTGTGGTTTAATGTCTTCCTCATAGTTTTAATAGGAAAAGCTATGCTGCTCCAGTTCTTCTTGGTTCTTTTTTTGGAGTTGTTTTCAGAGACTTTTTTTGAATATTCTTATCTTTCTTCTGTCAGAAGTCCTACAAAGGGCACCTGTCATTGGCTTGTTTTCTTGTGAAACTGTACTCAATCCATATCTGAGTCATGGCTCCAAAAGCGCTTACTGGATAATTCAGAGGCTTAAAAAGGCCCACAGCAACCCTCGGCATGAACATGTTTTACAACATTAGGACTTTCCTGGGAAGATGTCTTTGCTTTTACCAATCCAAAGCTCTTTCTTCATTACATCCGTAATAACAAGTATTTTTATAAGTCATCAGGTAATATAAAACAAGCAGGTTAATTTGCTCTTTGCAGCAGGTATGTCTCCAAGATGCTGATAGATTTCATGTCACGACTCAGAACACGCGGCAGGACAGACAGCGGGATTACGCAAAACGTGTTCATTTTGAAATAGCTGAGGTCTGCTGTGGCTAAGGCGTAAATCACAGGGAAACTCTGCAGGAAGGAAACACAGTGCTCATGTAAATCTAACGGAGGAACTTTCAAACCTAAGTCACTAACCTGCTTTGAGAATGAGGTAGGATCGAGCAGGTGGGCTGCCAACAAGATGCACGGGGCGCCACCCAGAGTGTCCCAGAGGCTGCAGCCCCGGAGAGCAGAGAACCAGCTGGAGTTTGAAGACAAGTCAGGCAACCAGATCAGAACAGGAACAGACAGGCTCAGAGTTCCAGGAATCCAAAGCTAGTTCAGGAATACAGATCAGAAGAGGAACAGGCAGGCTCAGTGGTTAAAAGGCAGAACAGGTTAGGATCAGGAAATCAGAAAGACTAAGGTACGCTAAAAACACTCAGAACTGGCACGAGAGAACAGAATAATCTGGCCCTGATGACTGCATGCAAGCAGCTAAAATAGGCAGGAGCAGGTGAATCAGATGAGCAGTGATGAGAAACCGGGCAGAGGGTGACAGGTGAATGAAATGAGTAATTAAGCTAGTGATCAGCGCCAAAATCATGACATTTCAATGTTTTTCCTGACTTTTTGTAAATCCCATTCCTGATTTGTTGAGTTTTATTCCCTTCAGCTTGTTGCAAAGGTGTTTGCCCTCCACTGCAGCCCCTCACTGTTTAGGCACCCAATTCATTCAATTCACTTCAGTTTATTTATATAACGCCAATTCACAACACATGTCACCTCAAGGCACTTTACAATACAACCAGATCATATAGTCAAATTCAAAGCTTCATACTCTTCATCATCAGTTCAATATTTTCTTACTACAGTTTCTGTTTTATTGTAGAAATTGAGGTTTTATAAACCTTTAACCAACACTCTCTGCCATGGACTGTAGCTGCCTGTATTTTTGTTAACATTGTCACCAGTTTTCCATTTTCTCCTCACTTTCATTTGGTATATAAGATTATATTCCTTGTTTGTTCTTAGTTGGTTTGTCTGCAGTTATCATTCCACTGGTTGCTTTAAATACTCGAAATCTATTTAGTTTCTCATTGTTTAATTAAAATATATCCATCCTACAAGCAGCTGGTGATGTCCTGTTGCCAAAATGATCCCTAACTACTGCACACTTTAGCACTTTTTTACTATGATTAATCCTGGGCTGCTGTGATGTGACACAGAGGCCCTTTACTCTTAATTACTTTTCAAAATTAAAATATGCCATTCATAAAAGGCAGGATTATTTTAGAATAAATCTGTTTACCTGAACTTGGCTATATTTACTGTCAGCTATGTTCAGTCTGTTAAAATAACCAAAATTCAACCATCAATAGCTGGTGAGGACCAAAGTTTATTCTTGCCACCACACACCAGGAGCAGATTGGTAAGGGACATAACAGATCTCTAAAGCTGAAATTTACTAAGTCTCTCTATTCTGGAGTTATGACAGAGAAACCCTTTTCTGTGAAGAAAAAAAAAAGTGAAAAGCTTGAGGTTATGACAGACATGGGACCGTGGGATTTTTTTTACACCTCTTTATAAGACATGCTAATAATGAAGAGAGGGTGTAAGTCCAAAGCTTTTTTCTTATAGTAAATAAGGCATGCATATTTTAAAAGATTTAAAAACGGGTAAAATTAATGTTCATTGTTTTAAAAAACAAGTTCCTTATCTTATTGACCATAAATTAAAAACAGCATGTTGTTGCCAATGGGTTTATATTACACTCAACTAACATGACAAACCTGTTTGCAATATTATTAAGTCATTCAAATCAGAATAAATCCATTTACACTCATTACAATTTTATCCTAACAAAACAATTCAGTCAATTTCAAATTATCAAATTCCAGTTGGTAAAAAATATTCTAATGTGAGGAAACCAAGTCCATTTATTACCTTTGAAATAACTCCTCATACTGATCAAGTGTCCACTGATAGTGGAAACAAGGGACTGTCTTTAGGTTTTTGATGCTTTTGATGTGTTGATTGAGGATTTGTAGCAAATGTTATCTCAAAGAAGCACAGCACCTCACTAAGCACAGTCTATGATGCAGAAATGTACCTGTTTTACAACACTGGGCCTGCAACACAGATCAATAATAACAGACGGATAGCAAATGAACGTATTTGGCATAAAGATCTGTGGAGAAAGAAAGCGACATCAGAGTCACTTTCACATCCTTTAATTCAGAGAACTGACCAGGAAGAAGATGCTTGTTTAGAAAATGCTGGAACGTAAGCCATAGGACCAGTGGTAGCTCACCAAATCCCACACTGTGAGAACCAGATGACAATGGCCGTGCTAAACCCAGTGCTAAAGAATTCCAGCTTTATGGTTATCATGCCACATTGGACGTAGAAAAGAAAGTTTCATGCCTCTGTGTGTGTGTGCATCTTTTATGTGGGTCACCCCACCATGTCTAATGGCCCCTTGCTGCGTGCAGCGTCCTGCGTTGAGCTGCTCCCTGCTGTCACACTCACACACACACAAACAAATGTGTGGGCACAGTGGGGGAGATTTTTGGGGTCTCCCTTTGCCCTAATACCCTCCACAATGCACCCCTGATGCATCTGTTGCTTCTCTCCTCAAAGTTTAAAGTTGCTCGGTGAAGAACTAGCATCCCTCTGCTCTCCTCATTAGCAGTTTCTCTCCTCTTTTCTCATCACATCTGCCCACTCTTTCCTCTCCTTTTTGGCTACTTTTTGTTCTTTCAACTCAAAAGATGGGTTATCATTTTTGACATTATTTTTCTGCAGATTTTAGATTTCCCCTAAGATGACTGGGAAGGGATTCTACAAGGAGCAGACTTCTGCCTTTTTTAGGCCTCCACGATGTATAGAAGCGACCTAAACCAGGTGAGTCTCTACATTAAGTAGATTTAAAATCACATGTTGACATATCAAAGGTTTTTCTCAACAGAAATCCAAGCTAGCCAGCAAAATAATAGCACGGCTTGATCACACTCTTAAATCATGATTGCACAGAAAAAGTAAGCCTAGTTATTATATGCTTCGAAATGTGAAAGGTATTTTTGTGATTAGTGGGATGGAGGGTGTGCTGTCTTTTTTATACTTCTCCTTCTGCCTGCACTCCTCTATCTAGGCATAAAAAGAGAAAAATTACCCTTATTAAAATTCTGGCTCTGCAGTTTTATTTACCTCATTGGTTTTGAAAAAATCTTAGAGGCGAGGAAAGACGAGGAGAGACGAGGACAGGAGTGGAGGGGGATGGGTGAGGTACAGTTCGAGGAAGGAAGAAGCAAAGAGTGAGATGCTGATAATTCAGTTTACCACAGCCAGACCCAGCCCATCCCCACTGTGTGTCTATGTGTTGAAGCACGTACACACCAGGAAACGCACCAGCAATACATGTAGATACAATAGGCTAAATGTGAGGCAGCTAACTTCCAATACAGACGTATTTTTAAAATACGGGTCAATGGTTTGATTGTTAACTTAGACCCAAAGAGAGTAAAAAAACGAATGTATACGCAGCCGAAATCTCAGCCGCAGAGAAGCCAGTTACGTCACTACATTTTCACACTGCGGTACTGTCTCTTTGTCTGCTTGTCGGACAGCCAGCTGTAAGACGGAGGGCGAGAAGTATCCTTTAGCATACGATTTCTTACAAGAACATTACACCTTTGTCGTATTCTCCTTTTTGGTTTGTTTCGATGCACCGTTGTTCAAACATAATTGGTTTCCTGAGGATTATTTTTTAGTGTTTTAATTTTTCATCCAAAATGTGCTTGACTGAATATTTAACCAGATCCGTTAAATTCTACATCCATTAACATCTGTGTGTGTATCTGTGCAGAATATCCTATGGAATGAAAGACCTAATATCATTTACAATAGTCACTAAAAGAGGAACTTTTTGTTTATCATCCTCAGTGTCTCAGATTTACATGAGTATTTCATTAAGGCAGATTATTCTGCTTTTAGTTTAGATTTTGTCATCATCAGACGACCACAAACTGTATTTACATGTATAAATGAACGTTAATTTTTATTTTATGTCACTACTTTGCCTTTCGGAGAGACTAACCCTTTTATTGATTTAGCCATCATCTCAGTTTTAAGGCAACTGATAAGGATTCACACAGAAAGAAACCAAAAATAATTATTTCAAGCTGCAACACAGAGAAATAATAATATCCCCAAAGCCTTTGGTGAATCCGAAAACCCTTCAGTTGTACCAAAGACCACTGTGAAATGACGATTTACCGTTTTTACCGCGGATAAACAAAGAAACGATTGGGGTTTGATTCCACTTTGGCTTTTGTTGTTCACCCTTCTAAAACACACACAGTACACACCCGAGCAGGACTGATGGGATTAGAGAGTGGTCACATTCTAGTCACACTCTTTGTCTGTTTTTTGTTTTTCTTTTTTACTTTTTCAGTCTCCAAAGTGTACATTTATTTCTGAATTACTGACTTATTTCCCTCTCTTTTGATGGATCGATCTATCTATCTATCTATCTATCTATCTATCTATCTATCTGACTATTCATTTTCTGGGTTATGAATGTAAGGGTGTTGTCTACTGTGTATAAATTAAAAATAATCCTGCAGAGCTGGAGACAGGCAGGCTTTACTGAATACTGATGCCATTCTTCGTGTTTGTGTGAGGAGAATATTTGTCCTGCCAAGTTAGGTTTAAAAGCCTAGTATTCGGTCAAGCCTTCATTGTCACCAAAGAGCTGGTTTATCTTTCATATAAAAACATATGAGGGGTACCGTTTTTTGGGGGGTTTTTTTGCAGTTTTTTTTTTTTATTTCAATAAGAAAGTCAAGCACTATTATTGTGCAAAGAACAAAATGACCAGTCTTTGTTATAGTAATTATTTCTGTGTTTTCCTTTTGATGTTGTTTTTTTTGTTTTTTTGCAGTGATGGCAGCATTGTTTGTGTGCTTTTTATTCGTTGTGTGGGTATCGAAAGAGTGTTAGTTTTGCTCTCTGTCTGAGGGACAATGTTCCTTTTCGGAGGAGAGTGGGAGTGCGGTGTTTGACACATGTTAGTGCTGGCTGATTAGTCGACACATAAAGAACATGCAGCCCCTCCATCACTATTCAGCCATTTTGTCTTCCTCGTTTTTTTGCATACTGGTCGAGTGGATGTTTGTGTGCGCGAGAGGAGCTTTTGTTAAGGTAATACTTAGGAGAACGAATGACCGAGGGAGACGACACCGTGGAGAATCGCACAGACCGCGGCCAAGTCCCATCGACCCTGAGATGGGGCTCTCTCTCCTTTAGTTTGACTACATCATAATAACAGTATTTAGTCCTTTTTACCTTAAATTTCCTAAAATATAAAAACACAGTAATAGCTAAAAGTATTTATATATATTATATAGATAATTACTGTGTAGGATAGTTTGTCAGATCAGTAGTTTAGTGTCTTTTGTCTCTTAAGTGGATTAGCCTCCTGGTCAGTGAGACACACAGTGAAAGTGGCAGCCATAGCCATTGTTTACAAGCTTGTGTCGCCTCTGCCGCTTCAAATCTTTGTTCGATGCTGATTTGTTTTCCCGGACTCATTACAATTGCTGGGTGGAGTTTGCACAGATTCAATGTGTAATCTTCTGCAAAGGAAAAAAAAGAAATCCCAAATATTTGCATTGTACTGTCATATTTTATTAAATTCTGGGCCCTTTCTAAAACTGGAAATCTGTGGTTGATGCAGTCAGATATTTTCTCTAAATACTATATATATATATATATATATATATATATATATATATATATATATAGTGTAATGGTGGAAGCACATTCAATCAAGATCCACAAATCCCATTTTTGGGGGTAATATCAGCAACAGGTTATTTGCTATTTAAAAAAAACAACTTTTGAAATTCAGATCTATATTATCATGTATTTTTTCTCCCACTAAGACCATGATGTAGCCACTCTGTATGAGTCCTATAAACTCTTAATGAATATGTCCTTAAATACAATTTATTTGAATTGAATTAATGTAATTGGAAATACAAATATTGTAAGCTACTATTTATGTCCAACATTTATACATATATATGCTTGTGATATATACACTGTCTCTTTTATTTTTTATGCATTTAAATTACCTGTTTTCAAATCTTTTCAAAAAACCAAAAATAAATGCACCTTTTAGCCTAACAGATTAGCCCCTTCCCTGGATTTCAGGTAGCTGATATTAAGCTTTTATTATAGCAAAGTGTGTTTATATTCATTTTTTTTTTATATGAAAAAAATAATAATAATCATAATTCATCTGCATGATATATACATACGACTGGACTGAACCAATAGATTAGGTAATAGGGTATTGATATGCATTAATTTAAAAGCATAACTTTATCATATTTTAGATTTCTTTTGAAGACATTTTTTAAAGATTTTAAAAAATAATATCATAATTTGTTTAGTTATATTCACAATAGGAGCGTGGACGTAAAAGTTAACTGAAGCTCCTTTCATGTTCATTAATCTCAGCGCACATTTCAGATAATAAATACCTGCATATTTCAGATTTGTTATCTGTGCCTCTGTGCTTCTTATCTCTGCAGGTAATTTGTATATCTTTATATATACTCTTAACCTTGCCTACAATTGACTAAAACGATAAGATTTCAATAAGTTCTTGAAGTGCTCTGCGGTAGATGCTGGCCTGATTACACTTTCAAGGCCTTGAAGCAACATCCAAGTAATGCAATTTTATTTCAGACATATTCTCTTTTTTTATTTCCTGAGAATACTTTCAATGTATTTATTCGGCAAGAGGTTGATGGGCTTTCCATGTATTATGGTGCATTCAGTAGATAAAGTGAGATTACTGCAGATATTATAAATATATTTTTTTAAGCATTGTTTTGTTGAATTAAAGATACTTAAAATACAGAACACTACAGTACAGTAATAACTTTGCATCTAAGGTAAAAGAGTTAGACATGTAAAAATACTTCTTTCATTTAAGCAAAAAAATAATCTAAAACAATGGTTTTAATGATAAAGAATATAAGTATATACAGATAAACTAAAATCCAAATGCATTAATCTGCTTGCTGGTAATCATTTGATTTCACCAAAATGACTCAGTACAGTATTAAGTCAGATGACATTGAAAGGCAGTTTTTTTATTCTCCTGGTTGACTTAGTCATCATCTCCTTCACCATTCAGCTCCATACGCTGTGACTGAGGCCTGTGCTCAGGACCACCGCCATTAACGACCAACTGCGTGCGCAAACAGAAAACTGTTATTGTTAAGGTGGGTGTGTGTTTGCATTGGCCCTTTTAAAAGAAGGTTTCACCTCCACAATACACTCTGATGGTGATTTTTCACTTTCTTTTTTGTATCTGTATCCTGCACTCTGTGTAAAGCACACACACACAAAGCCAGGCGGACCTATGCAGGATCAGTCATGCTAGAAGTGGTCAGTTTGACATTGTTGTCTATAAGCTGCTTTGCAGTAAAAGAAGAAGTTCTAAGGACTCCAAATGGTTGTAGTAGTTGGGGTTTTTCTCTCCGCACGCACGGCTCAGGTCAGTGAATCACTGCAGGGGGAGGGCGGCGCCTTAGTCTAGCCAGTCATTGCTCAAATGTGAATAGAACCAGCAATTGATTTGCTAATGACAGAGTTCTTGGTCTTAATAAAATGGTTGTAACAAGCCTGTCCTTGTTGGTGTTGGCATGTTGGAGGCTTCCTAAATTGATTAGCTGAAGGTGAAGTGGAGGCGGCCGTGCAGGATGTTGTTTCATGCGGTGGAAAGATGATTTTAAGATAAATGAGACACAGATGTTGTAACTGCTGCTCCGCCGCTTGAATTTGCTTGGTATAACCAAATAGTAATTATTGAATTATTGTGCAACAAAGTGAGTGGAAATAATAAGCTCAGTCATGATTTATTAAACTCGTTTGAGCAGAATCAATATTGTCAATGAAGCAGTCTCCTCTTGCAGAGGACTCCCATTTTTCTAAAAGCATTTTTAAATGGCAAGCTTTTACATATGCATTTATTCTAATGTTGCAAATATATGAGACTGTGTCTTTACAGTAAATTAATATGGTGTGAGAAATAGATTAATATGACATAACCACAGTATGATTGTCTTAAAAAAATGACTGGGCTTATAAACACAGTTAAAAACAAAACATATTTATCTAAAACCAAACATTATAAATAAAGCATTTACTTATTAAATCTTATTTATTGTAATTTAGATTTCTTAGCACAAACCAAATCAAAGATTCAAAATGAAAACAATCGTATCTATTGTTGGATTTCAAGTTATAATTGCACTTTTATCCTGGTGCTGCTGTTCTCCTCTTTAAAACAACTACATGTGGATATTGAGTTGTAATTAAGACGCTATTTAACAGAAATTCTCGTATTGGACCAACAGTAAGTGATGAATGTGTTACTTACATTTCTACCTAAAACTGCCACTGTTTGTGTGGCCATAAATATCTACAAAGAGACCAAGGAAACCCTGCTGAATGGCAGTGTGCAGCAAATGGTTGTGGAATGAAGGATATTACTTAATGATCCATGCAGGAAAATCTAGTAGTGAAACTATCTCTTTTATGAGAGTAGAAGGATCTTAAAGCATGGCAAAGTACCCATGAAAACTTTTAGTGTTTTTAGTAAATTAACTTGATAAAATATTTTCCTCATCTATAAACTGGTAATCGACCCAAGCCCCAAAAACATACCTCATAAATAAACAAACCTTAATGTATCTCCTTCTTTTCCCCTTTTGGTAATTTCTTCTTCTGCTTTTAACACTAAAACTTTTATTATTCTATTGGCTTGACTTAAAATCAGCATTAAAGCTACACCTCTCTCTTTATCGCCCATCAAACTAGCATTTACACTTTACTCGCATTTACACTCTCCTTTGGTATGAGGAAATCATGTCTTAGTTCATACTGATATGAGAATAAAAACGACATTGATTGTGCCCTGCTGCGGATGTGACACAAATGGCACATAAATCCAGATGTGAGGGGCTTTATTAGGCAGCTGCTGACGATAATCCAGCTGATAAATGACGTGGAGGAGCTTTAAACCCCTCATCTGCTGTGGCTCTCTCTGTGAGTAGTTTTAATTTCAGCATGTCATCACGAGATGTAATAAAATATCAGAAAGCTGTTTAATAGCTTTGTGGATTGGAGTGCTGATCGAAACACAACACAAGGAAACTACTTCTGTCATGCTTTTGGGGTCCGCTGAAGCGATTTGGAGCAGCAGAGACGGTCATGAAGAGGAAAAGAAATAAAGCAGATATCAGCGAACACAGTCTGTGGCCCTCGACGTGTTTAGGCTTGCTGTGCTCGTCACCGTCTCTCGCTGTTTTGTAAACTTGTGATGGATCCAGAGCAAGAAATCTCAGCATGGTTTTTCACAGGAACATCTAGGTGCCCGCACATCACAGAGCTGTCACCAGGTTTCAGCTGTCTCTCTCAGACCTTCAATTTCTCCTTGCCGAGTCTGCTTTGAGTGCTTCCTCTCTGCACAGGGTAGATGCAGGATGGAGGACCTTTTACCATGGCAACCGCTAATGCAGTATAGATGCAGGGACCGCGGCTGTAATAACAAGGGATGTGGGGAGAGGCAGGTGAAATGTCATGCGGGCTGCTTAAATGAGCGCCTTTGATGTGTAGTGCGGTGAACTCTAAATCCCATTCGGCTTCAGTGGTGAAAATCAGGTTATTGTTTCCTGTTTTAGTTCAGAGCTACCGTAGGATTTCTATTTGGTTTCCATTCAGCAGAATCTATCCAACAAAGAGTCTCTCCTCAACATGGCGTCCTTCGCCGCCCTACAGCCATCACTTCGTTTTTATGTCAGCCTCTGCTCAGCATTGTTTCTTATATCGGCTTAGACTGGCCAACTCTAATAATCCCCTGTAGTCTGAGTTTAATATCTGATTCATGCAGTGTCCTCTCACCTTCTCAAGGATGGGATTTTGCTATCCTCTTCAGACACTCGAGTGCATTTTAGCAAGTCAATAAAATATATACCAAGCAGGTTAACATGGGTTTCCTTCAATAAATATAGCTTTCTATCAAATGAGCTTTTTTTGAGTTAGTTATATTAGAGATGTACTACTGTAATTGATCAAGAAACTGAACTTACTTGATTTCCTCTTGATCATTAATAATCAAAAATATGAGGTATCTTATAACTGCATTAACTAGTGTTTACATAAAGAAATGTTTGTTTGAGATGTGCAAATGAAATTGATTTATTTGTTTGGATGCTGCTGAACTTTATAAATTTACACCTCAGAGAAAAGTGGAATCTGCCAAACAAAAGGCTGACTATTGCATCTCATATTTATCTGCAGCTACAAATGTGGACATAAAAGCAAATATATTATATTAAACGCTCATTTAGAACAAAACTGAACACATGATTAGTTCATTTCAGCTGACAGGCCTTAAGTCAAGGACCTCCTGACCACAGTGTCCAAAACAAACATTTCTTCTATGTGGCCTTGTCAGTAGCACTTCCCTGACCTCCTGTTACTGCTCTTGCAGTGTGTGTGTGCGAATGCGTGTGAGGGCGTATTTGTTTTGTCTGCCCCTATCTATAGCTCTGAGCTGCCCCTTTCTTTGCAGGGAGAAAAGAGACCACACCCCTGCGGGCCTTGGCCGGTCTGTGTGTGCTTACTGGTTTGCTCTCTCGGGATTTTGGGATTGACGTTGGCTTCGGTGCTTTAAAGCAGTGGCAACGGGAAACCAAACACAAATGTTTTAGAGTGAAATGCAAACTAAAGTTCTAGAAAAGTCATGATATGCAGGTGCAAAATATATTCATAGAACTACATTTTACAGATTTGCACATCTAGGCCCACGCAGTGAGAATTTTTTTTTTTGTACGTTTTGAAACTTGCAAGATCGATACAGATGAACATTTTATGGAGACTTGTGATCACAACAACACAATCGTATTTCAAATTTACTTGATTTTTTTTTTTTGCAATAAAATATGAATGTGATCAGGTATTTTTTGATTGAATAAACACCAGATTAGGCATTAAAATTATTATGTTGTGATTTATGGTATTATTCTGTTTTATGCAACAACAAAACAATGAAATTATCTTTTTATTTTAAAAAATGGAACATCCGTTTTCCTGCTTATTTACATTAATTGTTACACTCACAATAAAGATATATATATATCATTTATTTTTTGGTACTTTAAAGTTCACACATAAAGAAAATATTATTAATGTACCTGCTGGGAAGTTTTTAAAATTTCTTTGCTTTTTGTTTAGAATACCTATAATAGTACAGTTTTTGCTTTCTACCTTTTCTACAGTATAATTACCTGTTTTTGTCGAGTAATAAGTCTGAGAGCAGAGATGTGCCTTTGACCTAGCCGAATGCAGTATTAAAACGGTGTTACCTTAATGAGAGTGATGAGTGGCACTTCTTTAGTTTCACCACTATGACTGTCTGTGATTTCTTGTGAGCCGAAGGACGCTCCGGTCCCTCTGAAAGTATCTCTTGTCTCATTAAAATAGCTTGAAACTGTAGAGACTGTGTAAAAGAAAATGTTTCTGTTCTAAAACTGTAACTTGATAAAACCTTTTATATACCTTCATACTGGTAAGCAGCCTATGGCTACTGCGTAGGGACAAAAACAGGTCTGCTTTAAAAGTTTGCCTTTAAATCTAAGTGTAATCACCTTTACATTAGCATGGACAGTCTAATGCCACAGATCATAGTCTGTTTCATTTAAGATGATAGATTGTACTTATGCATTTAAAAGGTTTAGACAAACATGAAAAATGCTTTCTAATAGTTTCTTTTTTTTTCTTGTGACCTGTTTATTCTAATCAGCATTAATATGGGATTATTCTCAGTATATAGGTAAATTGCAGGGAATTATGACAAGTTAATGCAACATGAATAGGAACAGTATTACACTTTGTAATGAAAGTAAATTCATAAGGCTTTTCAGGCTGAAATGCATCAAAATATACTGGACAAATAGAGAGAAAGCAGAGTATTTATTTTTCAGTAAGATTATCGATGCGCTTGCTTTAATAAACAGTGTGCTGTGCCTATCTCTATCACTGCATTTCAGGTGCACAGACTCTGCAAACCTCTCGTCATGCCTGGGCGGAACATGAAACGGACCCTCCGGCTGGAAGGGCGAGTGCTGTGTGGGCTTCCTGAAGTGGTGCAGCACTGGGTCATCGGAGAGCCGCAGTGCCTGTTTGGGAACGGAGCAGCAATCTGTGTTATTTCAGCAACAGCCTGTTGGATGGAGGGCCCTTCCATGGGCATTATGGATTAATCTTTGGCAGGATCTCAGTTGGATCAGCCCAAAAATGGGATGTTTAACCTCACGTGTACCACAACTCCTGTGATAAAGCAGGATAGAGAGGATTGTGTGTGACCCACATTGGGACTGTGTTCTAAATGTATTACCTGTATTGACTGTTGAATGTATGCACTGCGGGTTGCATTATATAGTCTGCAAATCTGCAATGTTAATCCAGAGTAAAGGCCACCATTTTTACCTTCTGTATTATTATTGGTATAATTTTCAGATGTACCAATCAGTAGCCCAGAAATCAAAGTCAGCTTTTTTTTTCTCATTTTATTTGGCTCCGATTAGTTACTGGTGGGTTAATATACTAAAAAAGCTTTTTTTCCACTCATTCATTAAGCCAAATTTGCCCTTTTTATGCTTTATAAACTCAGTGACCAATTGTATATTCTTCATTCTCATTGCTGAGTATGAAAAATCAGATAAAAGATAGTGGTACGTGTTTAATGGAGATAATAGTATTTATTCATTTTCTGTCTGATTACCAGTCCCTATAAAAGATTCTGGAGAACAATTATTTTATCTGCTGTTATGTTCTGCAGTCCTTATAAAACAAAAAGAAAAAGTAGAATCTGTTAAAGTCCAATGTCAAAATTGTCTTGAGAAACCTATAAGACAATAGGAATTTGATCTACAGTTCAGGAGAAGGCTTCATGTGTTTCATATTTCTGTTAAAATACAGTTTTAAAAGTAAACTTGAACTTTATTTCAGGCATATCAAATATTTTATTTACAAAATAGGTGTGTGAAATGTGAGATATTTTTCAGCTGACACAAGGCCAAAAGTCAAGGATTCCCCATCTAGTGTCCAAAACAAACATTTCCTCAGTGTGGCCTCGTCAGAATCTCCTTCCTGAGCTGCTGTTACTGCTTTTAGTTTATGTGTCTCTGCAGCTTATTTTCTCCTTTTTATGTGTCATGGTCCTTAAACCAAAAAAGGGGAATCAGCAGGTCAGATTTCAAAGAAAACTGGAAATCAGAGTCAACCAGGAGAAGCTCTACAGTATCGGTGAGCCTTTAACCACTTTTAGTCATCAGGTTTCTTATTTCTCCACTCGGTCATTTATTGACAACTTTTTGAACTATGAGGCAGCATTTATTCATCCATCTTTTAATCAGTTTCTCTAATGAAAACAGGTTTTCAGCTAAAATCTCCCATTTTGGACCTCCCTTGTTTTAAATTGTTTATCATACAGGCCTAAGTGGAGAGTCGTCTTCCTGTTTGTTTTAACATCAGGGAGGTCTAAATATAAAAGCCAAGAACTACATCTACAAGCCTAGATTTACACATATATTTTAATGATTTAATATGTTCTCTTGTCTTGTCAGAAACAAATTTAGCGTAAAAAGTAAAAAAAAATTTTAACAGACATTTTACTGAACAGTTGCACAGCAGCCTTTAAAGAATGTCACAGATTAGACATCAGAAGGAGTTTTCACTGAAAATCTGATTTTAACTCTGTACTCTTAATCCAGACTCAGTGGTCACAAGATTATGACCCGTGACAGTCTGACTGTGATTAAACGGTAACTAAAGCTTAACTGCATGGTCACTCTCTCTTTGAATGAGAATATTACTAAAACATGTGTGTTCAGATTACATTCAGCGGATAATCAACACCCTACATTAATCATAAAAACAGTTTAAAAGCCCAGGCAACACTGAAATATGCTTCAGAGGGGCAGTTCTTTGTTTAAAATCCAGCATCAAACCTGAAACCTTGATCACAAAACTCCGTTATATAAACATCTGCAGGTTCTTAGAAACGCTCTGTTTAGATTGTGTTTCAGCACTACAAAGGTAGGTATGTCTTTTCATGAAGGAGTTTACAAGTACTTGCTGCTTTACAGTGGTGCGCTCCCGAGAAGGTGAGGGCTTTAATGTGCAATTGCCATCTAACAAAAACATGATTATGTCAGACACTAGGTGTACCATTCTCTCTGTTCAAAGAGGTTTTGTGATCATATATTTTAATGCATTTTATCAAAGATTCCCTTTTTAGCTTCTGAACCCTCCAACAAATGCTGTAGTGTTAGATATTCAGAATACGTAGAGGAAAGATTGGATTTTCTGCGTTTTTAGAGGAACATGCAGATCGGGAGACCTCTGATCACAAGCCCATAACCTGACAAATAATTACAAAAGCTCCCCACTGATTTATGTTTGATTCTGTAATTAAAATAAGTGAATGAGAAATCACCCTGTTTCCCTATACTGACTCATAGATTCATGATTTGTTGCTGTTCTGCTTGTGCAATTGTGCTCCTGACAGTCACATGACCCGTGTGAACTCATTTTTGACTTTAAAACCTCTTGGCTCTGTGTTTATCCGAGTGACAGCAGTAATTCTCAGCGTGGTTTGAAAGCAATTCAAAAATGCAGTCAATCATGTTGCAACCTCATGACACAGGGTGGAGTCATGTTGCTGATGGGCTTGATGCATTGCTGTGACGCTTAAGTGAGAGGGCAGTTGAATTAAGTGTTTCAGAGAGAGTTAGGCCTTCAGAGCTCTATTCCATCAGTGCATGGCAAATATAGGTTAATGAGGTGGGGTGTAGGCCCAGGACAGGATGATGCCCTACCTTTGTTTACAGGTGACATTGCAACGTATTGCATATTAGCGGACTTCATCAGCTCTACACCTTTTATTGCAGCAAATAAGAGATCAACACTAACGATGGGACTTGCAATGCATACTGAAATTTTATATGAGAGCCTTTTTCCTAACTCTATTAACACTGAACCACATAGAAAGTCATCTGAAAATGAAAAGCTCTGATCTCAAAACAAAAGGGAGATCACACTATTTGCTTAGAGGACCACATCTATGCTCACTAATAGGTTTCATTGGCTCAATCTGTTTTCCAGTGGAGTTGGGGAACAGGTCTGTTTTAAATCTGATGCCAGGATGGTTTTTGAAGATAACTCTGAAAGGTTTGATCATTTCATACACCAGTTTTTGCTAATTGCCAAAAACCACTCAAATGCCATAATTTACTCCAATAATTGCTCAATTTATCAAGTATTATCCTTGACAAATCCAATCTGGATTGATTCTGTTGTGTGGTGTTTTGGTAAGCATCAACTCTCAAGCAGCTCAGACAAGCACAGACTTAAGTTTTACTCTGATGCAGGTAATCCACACATGAAAGCTGCTCAGACCTGCTGAACTACTTGGTAAATCGCCTGCAGACATAATCTGAATGCTTTATTTTTCCAATGGAACAAGTTGTGAGAAAAACAAAAGCTGCTTCTGAATGTCACTGACATTTTACCAGCTGACTATTGAATTTCTTTAGTGAGTGTATCACCAACAACTAAACTAATCATTAACTAACCAATTTTTCTGAGTGTATTTTATCTCTTTGTGAATGAGTTTTGTGATGCTCTCTGGTCAGGAACATATTTTCAAGTCCAGCAGAACATTTAGTATCTTTCTATGGCAGCGGTTAACAAAGTTAGGGTTTGGGTGTAAAGTTTAAATAATATAATCAGTAAAATATATGTATGCAATGAATATAATAAAGTGTTTTAACTTGGCTGCTGATGCTGTCTGTGTTGTCATTACACCACAATGTCACTGACCTTCACTGATTGTACTTAACAGATAGTCCCCAATCCCTTCTACTATTTGAACAGTTTGTGAACTTCTCTGAAACATTTAGGTTTAAGCTATTTATGGTCTCTTTTAAACCCAGATGTTGTGGACTTGTGCAAAACAAAACTGTTTATTATCCAATTTCTTCAATTTAGAAAAATGGTAGATAAAATACATTAGCAATGAGTAGTAGTTAAAGTCTAATTTTGCAACCTTTGCATTTTATTATACAAATTTGAACGAACCAAGATAACTCCAGCAAAGCAGATCGGGTTTCTTATTTTGGGAGCTGGAACTTCATTTCATTGTGTATTCATACTCCACTCGTACCTTTGCATTTACCATAAAATTTGGCATTTATTCAACCCAAAAAATATATTATTGTGATGGAAACATGTATGTGAAACTTAGCCAGCGATGCTGGAAAATGAATACGATTTGTGAATTTAGTTTCTATTTTATGAAACAGCACGGCAGGATATGGGTAAAGTGTGGGTGTTCTTCGGTCTATATAACTCCGCCGCCATCTTACATTTCCCAGTCTCTACTGCTCTGGCTTCATCAGTATTGGTGCGCTGCTGCTGCTGCCTGAGAGGGAGTGGATGAGGGCTCCCTGCTGACGCTGCTCTGCACATTTTCCTCCACTTTTTCCTTTCCAGGTGTTTTTTTTACTCTTCGGAACCCAGGTGGACGGATTTTTCTTATTGACAAGGGTAGGCTTCAACATTCAGAACTATCGGCTTTCCTTATTTTTTTTTCTCGTTTTCTTTCCCCGACTCCGTGGACTGAAGACGGTGGTTGTGTGTTGGCTGAGTGTGTGTGTGTGTATGTGCGCGCGCGCTGGCCGACCGGCCGGGGATGGAGCTGCGGCAGCCCGAGAGTCAGCTGCTTTTCACGGCAGATATTTTGGGGATGTTCCAGCCACCGCCTATTTGGCTAAAATCTCATTAAAAAAAAAAAGTTGTTTTTTTTACGACGGAACGTCTGTAACGGATGTATTAAACTGTTTCTCAGCCAATGCGTAGACATCTTTGGATTAAGTCGCTTTACACCATCGGGAGTAAACCTCGGAGGTTTTCTTCGAGTTGGTAATGTTAGTAAACGTTAGCCTGTTAGCTTACTAACCATTGACCACATTCCTCCATTGTGACTCATGTTTGGGCTTCTTTAGTTTCGCCTCAGATTTTTAGCAGCTGTTAATTTGTTGAACAAAACTCCATGAGATGGAATAATACACGTAACTTTTATGGGAACGATATTATCGATATATATGTTAAATTATAAGTTGTGTTAAAGTCAACGCAGTCGTGTTTTATTAAAGTTGGGAGTTGGTTTACGGGGCGTTCACGGTGTGTAGGATATATACCTCCGCTCTAAGAAAGTTTTTATAGTTTATTTATTTTTAGTCTGGGATCAGCGTGTTTTTTTTCCTCTCGTCCTTTTAAACAAAGACCGACAAAATTCCTCCAAGTCGATGTGCTTCGGTATGAAGGCGAGGAGGAGCCTGGGAGTGAAATCTGAGCCGCTGGGGCAGCTGCGGCGGGGGGCATTGTTCGGGGGTGTATCGCTGATGTTTTGGTTTTAAAATAATAAGGAAAAAAGTCCAGTGAATGGATGCTGTGCTCGTTTAGATCCTTTATCAGTCATTTCCTGCTTTTGCAATTTCACCCATTCCTTGGCTTCCAGACTCGGGGTCTAAATGGAGCTGTCTGCCCCAGGACTTTTCGCACCTATCGTGCCTCCTTTCGTAGCCACCAGGGGACGTTTCGTACCTGCTCCGACTTCCATTTAGAATAACTTTATATGCTTTAATAGAGGTCTTCACTTGAGGAATAAAATTATGACTCCGATACTTATCTACCAACAGAATGGATCATATTTAGGAAGAAACTGATCAGAACAAAACTGAAAATGAAAAGTATTGAAAAGTGTTCTAAAAAAAAAAAAAGAGGAAATAATAAAAATTGCTTTTGAGAACAATTTATTTAAAATATTAATTAAAAAGCTGAATTAAATGTTTGAAGTAATGTAAAATGATGTCAGATGTATTTGTTTTAGAGGTGTGAAATGAAGGTGTTAAAAAGGAAAGTATATGTCTGAAATGGCTATGCAATGTGAACCTTTTTCTATATTCCTTTGTTTGTTTTGTTTTTTTTTAAATCTTATTTTTTGTACTTGTAAACTATTTTGATAATTTTCTGGTGAGCTATCTTGCTTTGCACAGTCCTGTAGGGATGAAACCTCTGTCCTTATCACTGGCCCCATCAGTTTTAGGGTCAGGGTTGAGCTGTATGGGTGATGGTTTAGCTAAATGTCACGGTTTGACAGAAATGTATGTATATACATTTTTTTTCTCTCCTGTTCCTGAATTATTATGTTTTTTTATATTTTTTTACAATTGAGGGCAGTGATAACAGATACTCCTGCACAGAAGGATTCTAGACTTTCTTATAATCCACTAAAGTTAACTCATTATTTGGATTCCTTGTTGAGCTATTGTAACTAAGCTGAAACTCCAGCTTTACAGATGACCCTTCCACTGTCCTGTTTTATAAAATCTCCCTAGAATAACCTTTTTTTGGTGCGTTTGTGCAGCTCATCAGAAAAATCCCCGAACAAGTTGCATAATGGAATAAAAAGCCGACTAACTGTGCTATCTCTCTGCTTCCTTTTTTCTGATGATGTGCAGAAATTCTTCAGACGGAAACGTAGGTGGTATGTTTTGAGATGATCCACGTTTCCAGTGGTCTTGTCATCACCGGAACAACGTCTGGTTTCCTGTTTCCTCTTTTACTGAACATCGTCTAGACTCAGACGGTAATCAGTATTTACCACATAGTTCAAGACTTTCGAGGCATAAATGGAGATGAAGTAAAGCAAGAAATGGGGGATTTTGGCATGTGTGTGAACCTGATTGGAAATCTTAGTTTTTCCGTTTGAAAGTCCAGTTGGTATGTGTCCTGTAGACAGAGCTATGCAGCATTCTGCAGTTGAGACAGAAAATAAGCCTCTGCAGCGGCTGCAGGCATTTGGTTCATTGTGGTGTTTGGCACCCAGTAGAGCACTGCTGACCCTGCACTTTAGCCTGCTAAGCCTGTGGCTGCTGCTTTTTCTCACTGCTTTTGCCAGTAATGGGGTTACTTTTGCTTATTTACTCATGCAGATGTATTGACTGCATGTATTTTATTTTTTTTTTTCTGGAAGAAAGTGAAAAAAGCAGTTTGATCTAGCTTACTTGACCTGATCTCAAATTTAGTTTGCTTAAAATGTAGTATACTTTTTTTTTTTTTTTCCATGGAAAAATCTTTTTCTTTTTTTTTGCGCATGCCATAAAAAATGTTGTAAAATTTAGCCACAAATGTCTGCAGGCCAAATGGACACAGATGTAATTTTGCCTGGGGGTAATTTACCCAAGGCTGACTCGACCGCGTGTTCTGCTTTTAAATGTTGTAGAAATGAATTTCAGGATTTCTTTACATGAAGCTTTGGGTCTGGTTACTGACTTTTCTCTACCTACTAGTTTAGATTACAGAAAACTCAATCCTTTGTCGTTTTATTTTTATTTATTTATTTTTCTTACATCATACATGGAGCTTTTGCTCAGCAGTCCAGCAGTTCATCTGCAGTGTATTAGGTACAACATTAAGTTTGGTTGTTGCAAACATGTTTGAGCTCCATCTGTGCTGCAGCCGTATGGAGTGTTATTTAACCTCACTTAGTGCAGTTACAGTACCCTTAATTTTTCCATGGCATGCATAGGTTATAGTGTCACAGTTAAAACTGATCAGTGATGGCTGTTAAATAGAGCATTTAGAGAACAGCTAAAGGAGATGTTTCTGTTTACCTCACTGCACAGGGCATCCCTCTGGTGGCTGCTGTGTCAGGCATCTGGTTTTAATCATCTGGCTTTTAACTGCACCAGGCTCCACTCTACGTATTGGATTTCACACATGGTTCAAAGAAAGCTGTCGTTCAGATTTTGTGGCTGGGCTGCTGGCTCTATGGTAAGAAGTCCCGCAGTAACAAGTTTGCCATTCAGTTTAGTGTTCGACTTAGCTTTTCGTCTCTGTTGGATGCCAGAATTTTCTCTTTGCTCATTTATGAAAAGGAAACTGGCTTCTCAAAGCCAGATGAAAAGAACCGGTTAACCACCAGTGTGAATCATAAATGATCCCACTGTGTACTTTGATTGTATGTTTGATTTGTATCCAAGCATGTATGAGACATGTGGCTCTCGTTAGGACGGTGTTGGGTTATACGAGGGCAGGCCAGTCGTGCTGGAGGGATGGCGTGTGAACAGCAAATTTGGGCTGGTACATTCATGGTTGGTAACAGCAGCTGTCTGGGAGCAGGATGCAAGATGAGGTTTAAATCACTGCTAAGCTACAGTGATGTCGTCATTTAGGATGATTGTTTGCTGAAATAAGTCATAAACTTATATGGCTCATAACCATAAACTCATTCATAGATGCCAACAATCATACAATCCCAACTGTTTTGTTTCCTTATTTTCTGTTATTTGTGATTTACTTTTTGGAGAATAAAGTAACATTCTCCAATGAAAACACCTTGGTATTAAAGAGTTCAAACAGAAGTGTTTTTACTCAGTACAGCCTTTTAACTATAGCTTTAATTTTAAAATTGTGTTTTCAATGAGTCCTTCCGTTACTTTCTGTTAATATTAGATAAAAACATTGTGCCATTCTTCTAGTCAGAACAACCAACAGTGCATCAACTGGGGAGCTGTAATAATTAAGTTGATTTTCTGACTTTACTGCAGTTTATTTTTTACATATTTTTTTTAGCTCTAGTGTACCTTGACCTCAGTAATGACCTGGTCCAGCAGGAGTATTTCTATTTCAATAAACTCACAAAGAGCTTCTCTGTTTGACAAGTTTCTCCATGTGGAGTACTAGCTTCTAGCTTCATTAGGTAGAACAGA